GTGGTGGCTTGCTCTCTTTTTCAAATTCTCTCTTAACCCACAAATTGATTTTGCAATTTAGATCACACACTCACTAAGAGAGGGTTTAGGAGAGTTGGCAAGGCTCAAAGACGTGTGTCTATCTCAGCAGAATCAGCAGCCTCCAAAGGTGGAGGCTTGGGGGTATTTATAGCCCCCTTGAAAAACTAGCCGTTTTATAGCCATTGCAATACCAGACACGTCCGGTATGACTTACACTGCCCCAACGGTAACTAAGTTACAGTGAAGTTGTGAGGCGTCGGAACTCCCGACCCTCAGCAAATTTGAAAACCATGTAACTGAGTTAAAGAATATGAGGTGTCGGAACTCCCAACACATGTCAGAACTTCTGACCGTCGGAACTCCCGACTCACGTCGAAACTCCCGACCCTCAAGGTTTTGGAAAAAGTAGCCGTTGGCCTCTGGTCGTCCATACCGGACACGTCCGGTATGAATACCGGAGACGTCCGGTATGACCAGGACGAGTGAACCCTCCAAGACAGTTAAAGTGTGAGACGTTGGAACTCCCGACCCTTGTCGGAACTCTCGACCGTCGGAACTCCCGACCTACGTCGGAACTCCCGACGAACCAACCCGAGAACAACATTTTTACAGTTACTGGGCAAATACCGGACACGTCCGGTAAGGCCAGACCAGCAACAAGTCAGTTAGCCTTTTTGTCTCTCAAACACTCAAATCTCACATGGGTTGGCTTGAGCACTTATGAAACATTATCTATCAACATGATGCATCCCTCTTAATAGTACAGCATACCTATTAAACTCAAGATCAAAGGAAAAAAGGATTTATACCACTTGAGTTGATCTCTTTTGAATTGATGCCGTCTCTTTCAATCTTCATCAAGTAAGGGTGCTAACATGTTGATATTGATCTTTTCACTTGAGCATAGCCATCTTGAGCACGTGACTTGATTCCATTCATCAAATTTGAATAATCCTAAATGTATCAAGTCACTTACATCAAACAATCCAATAGTGATTTGATCCTCCACATGAACATGGCCATCATAGCTTGATTAGTACCTCAACTAAATGCAAGTACTTTCTTCTTCACCCTAGCTAGGTTCTTCGGCCGCCAAGCCGTCGCTTGCCCTTCACCCTTGCTTAGTACCTCGAAGCCTTTCCTTGCTATCTTCACCATCTCAAGCCATTAAGTCACTTCTTGTGTTGAATCATCCATTCATTTGTATTGTTATCTTTTTCATTTTAATTTAACAAGCTTCAAGTATGAGACCATTCCATATGCAATTTCTCATGTTTTATTAATTAATTCTCACGAGCTTGCTTTCACATAGTAAATGGAAATCCCACAATAAATGAGCATTTGCATGAATAACATTTGCATTGTTGTCTTGTGCTTGAACTAGATTGTTTATACAACAACACATCATTTTGGCTTTCATTAAATACTCATGAGATAACCTATAACCTGTCCACACTTAGCAAACGGGTTAGACCTTTAATCACGTTGTCATTCAATCATCCAAAACCCACTAAAGGGCTAGATGCACTTTCAGCGGGGGCTGCTGCTCGCTGGAGGTGGCGGCCACCCTGCTTGCTAGAGGGGCCGCGCCTGGCTGCTCGCTGGACGATGGACTGGCCACCGGGATGGCCGTTGGAGGAGGGGCCACCGGGCTGGCCGCTCGACGAGGAGCCACCGGCTGGCCGCGCCGGACTAGCCCCAGCCACGCACGCTGCACGAGGGGAACGGCAGCGCCTCCCACACGGCGAGGAAGGACGGGAGCGGGGTCGGACGGAGCCAGATCCAGCGGATCTAGGGCCAGAGATCCCGGCTGAGGCACCTGGCCGGTGGCGGCAGCGCCCTTCCCCTTCGCGTCGCGGCTCGTCCGCCTGTCGCTCGATCTGCTTCTCGATAGACGCGCCCATCGGTCTAAGTCACTCGGTTCGGTGTGGCCCCTTTAGAAACACAGAAGGGCAATTTCGTCTTTTCGTGTATCCACCTGTGGACAAACTAACAGAGTTCGCTAACAGACTTGACAGAATGCCATTGAAGGAATGAAAGTTCGTTTCAGGGCCATTCAAGTAAGTTAAAAAAAAGGGTCATATAAGGGAAGAGCCATTTTTCTAGGGTCATACAAGTAAAAAGCTTTTATATATATATAGGGTAAGGCTATTCTGCAACTGGTCATAGAATAACTTATTCTATAGCCACCTTGATTTACGATAATGTTTGTATCAATTTACGATAACATGAATATGCATTTACGATACTCGTGTTACGACAACTCACGGTGATATTTACCATAATGTTATAGTAAATCACTTAGTAAGGAGTTACTGTAATATCGTAAATTAACATAGTAACTATCGTAACTCAAAGTAGCCACAGAATAAGTTATTCTATGGACAGCCACAGAACAGTAGTTACTAAGTGATTTACTATAACATTATGGTAAATATCACCGTGAGTTATCGTAACACGAGTATCGTAAATGCATATTTATATTATCGTAAATTGATACAAACATTATCGTAAATCAAGGTGACTACAGAATAAGTTATTCTATGGCCAGCTACAGAATAGCCTTTTATATATATATATATATATATATATATATATATATATAGAGAGAGAGAGAGAGAGAGAGGGGGGGAGGGGGAGGGAGAGAGAGATGATGATGACATATGCGCCAAATTTTTGAAAAAATGAATTGCGGAAGTATATTAAATGTTTGAATTTACACTGACAATATGGTTTCCACCACGTATATTTTACCCGGTTTTCCCCGCCAGCCGAGGCCGAATCGCCCATCGGAGGCGCTAGGACCAGCGACCTTGCCGGCGAAGGCACCCTGGAACGGAGCATGCAGTCTCTCAGTAGCCATTCAAGATGACGCTTCAGTACAAGTCATGTCCTGTGACATGCATGACAATTGGACGCCGGTGCACTGGACAGGTCGTACCACACAGTTTTGCCAAGTTCCGCAGTAGTACGGGGCACTGTGGCCGGGCGTAGCACCAGCCAACAGAGCAGCAGAGCATTGGACGCCGGTGCGTGCAACGCGAGCACTGGATGGCGCGGCGTGGCGCCCCGCCCCGCAACGCACGTCACAACACGGCGCGGCCGCCGGCCGGATGCCGGGGCTTGCGCGTGTGGCCTCGTCGACCTGGTGGACACCCGTGGCGGCGTGTCCTAACAAACGGACGTCGTCGTCGCCTCCTCCTCAGCGGCGTGGTGCGCTCCGGACCCTTCGGTGGATCTCGGCTGTTGTGGCGGTGCGGTGGCGCGATGAGAAGAAGGGCCATGGGGAACAGCCCAACAGCCCATGAACTGATGGACACCCAAAGCAGGAGTTTTTATGGGCTGTGTGGTGCCACCAACTGAAGATGGGCCGTAGTCAAGCGCGTTTCAGCTGCCCTCGTGCATATGGAAACTCTCCATTTTCTAAAAAAAAAACATCAAGCAACAACATCTGGCATGTGGTTCACAGTTCAACAGACCAAACAAGAAACGTACTTGGATCCAGTCCAGCTGACCTTGGTGTTCACCATTGAATAGAGCAGGAGTACTCCTTCCTATACCGCTATACGGATTACGGAGAGAACGATGTTCGATTGATATTCTCTCGCTAGATCGGGGGATCGAGCAAGTAAGAACACCTGCCACGGTGTGCCATCTTCCTTAGGGCTCGTTCGGTTGTGGGCCTGGATTCAATCCACCTTCCTTTCTAAAATGTGTGCACCAATAGGCTATTTAAGGATCTTGCGGAGGCTACATGCAGCAAAAAAACTCAGTCATCTCGCCTGGAATCAATCCTGACCTCTAGTGTCCCGGAACAAATCCGTTCGGATGCTATGTGCAGAAGAACATGCGGAGACTACGTGAAACGGAATAAATCCCCATGGACGCTTCCTGCAACTTAGCAATCACCCTGCACACAGCTGTGTAGATTGGTTCCGGAATGAATCCCCATGGAATTAATCCGTTGCAAACGAACAAGCCCTTAATGTCGGAATTAGGAACCAAATCCCCAAACCCAAATCAGGCTCGGTTTCCTCTATGACTAAACAGTGAACCACTGCTGGGTTTCAAAACCAGCGGTCAACTTAGCTTATAGCCCTCCACGACTTTTTTTTTGGGAAAAAGTTGTCTCCGCAACTTTTATTTTTTGGAAACTTACAAAGTTATACACATAATTTCTCTACATGATGTTTTATTAGACATAACTTATTAGCATAATTTATGTGCATAACTTTTGATAAAACAACTTCTCACCACACCTTCTCATCGTAATTTTTTACTTTTCTTTTTTGAAAATACATATACAAATTATGTGCATAATTTTTTTTAAAAAAAATACAGTGCACGAAATCTTGACCAAGCGTATTAGTCAATAAAGACGGACGGTGGCATATGGTCAAGTTGGATGAAAGATTCCAAGGGTGCGTAGCCGACCGACGTATATGTGACGGCCATTCATTAGCTAGGCAATTAGCCGGTTGCATTGGACCGGCCGGTGATTTGAGCTCATATTTTCAGCGTGGATCCGTGCAAACTTGTTTGAGAAGCCTTCTTTCACAGGCTTCTCTAAAACGGTTCTGGCTCTTCTTTTTTCATTAAAAAAATAGCTTCAAACAGCTCCTATAAATTGTTTGATAGAGTTGCTTCGGAGACGGAGACGGAGACGGAGACATAGAAGAACCCAACCAAACAGGACATAATTAAGTGCCGAGTTTGGGGCTTCATGGGCTGGAAACTAAAGCAATTCTCACAAAATATAGTAGCAGTACGTGTGTCAGCTAGTGCATGTGAGCATGTGGTGGCTGAGGCGCGGCGGTGTCTCGGAAATGGCTCTGGGTCTCAGCCGGATACACGTTATTTATTCACGTATACCCGCCGCGGGATTATTCGCTACTAGTACTCCCCCATACCCATCGATCGATCGCGCGCTCAAGAAGACAAGAAGCACCACAAGCTAGAAAGAAATCTGCACGGCAGTAATGGGCTCGGCGAGCTTACTGCTGTTGCCGCTCCTCCTGCTGTCCGCCTCCTTGTCCATCTCGATACCCGTGACCGCCGGACAATCCGGCGACGAGGCCGCGCTGCTTGCGTTCAAAGCCGCGGCGATCAACGGCGGCCATGGCGACCCGCTTGCTTCGTGGAACAGCAGCAGCGTTGGTGGCTTCTGCGGTTGGGAGGGGGTCCTGTGCGGGGCTAGGCACCGCCGAGTGGTGGGCCTCAACCTGACCTCCCGTGGACTCAACGGCACCCTGTCTCCGGCCATCGGGAACCTGACCTTCCTCAGGACACTGAACCTGACCTTCATTGGTTTGAAGGGAGCATCCCTCGAGCATCGGCCACCTGGTACGTCTTCGTAAGCTTGACCTGAGCAACAACATGCTCTCCGGAGCACTGCCTGCCAGCCTCAGCTCCTGCGTCAGCTTAACTTTCTTGGGAGCCAGAACTAACCAGCTACATGGTCGTATTCCTGTTGAGCTTGGCCGCAAGCTCACAAACCTTCGAATCCTCTCTCTGGGAAACAATAGCCTGACGGGCTATATCCCAGTATCACTAGCCAACATGTCATCTCTACACATTCTTGATCTGCGTAGAAACCAGCTGGAAGGCCCCATACCAACTGAACTTGGCAGCATTGGAGGCCTAAGACTCCTTTATCTCCAAAATAACAACCTCTCAGGTGTGCTTCCACACTCTCTGTACAATTTGTCTATGTTGCAAGATTTCTTTGTAAATTCAAACTCGTTGTCTGGAACTATCCCTACTAATATCGGCGATAGGTTCCCCAACATAGAAACTCTCAACTTTTGTGACAACAAGTTTCATGAAACTATCCCGGTTTCACTATCCAACCTCTCTGCTCTCATGAACATTCAGCTTTCTAAGAACAATTTCTGGGGACCCGTTCCTCCTACTTTGGGGAGATTGAAAGGTCTCCGTTCCATAATGGTATATGACAACAAGCTAGAAGCAAATGAGGAGGGGTGGGAATTCATCACCATGCTATCGAACTGCAGTCAGCTTCAGGATCTCGATCTCAGCCATAACTCCTTCAATGGAAAACTTCCTAGTTCAGTTACAAACCTATCGACAACTCTCAGATATCTTACGTTAGGAGAAAATACAATTTTCGGGTCTATTCCGCCCAACATTGGCAATTTGGTTGGTCTGGACATATTTGGCATTCAGAATACATCCATATCAGGAGTGATTCCAGAGAACATTGGTAGGCTTGAAAACCTGGTTGATTTATACCTTTACAACACTAACTTGTCAGGCCTCATACTTTCATCACTAGGAAATCTTACACAGTTGAATTTGCTTGGTTTATACAATGGCAACCTAGAGGGGCCAATTCCAGCAAGCTTCGGGAACTTAAAAAATCTGGTTGCCCTTGATCTCTCAACGAATCAACTGAATGGTTCAATCCCTAGAGAGAGGCTTTCAAACTTCCTGCGCTCTCATTCTACTTAGACTTATCATATAATTCGTTGTCTGGGCCACTTCCTACTGAAGTTGGTAGCCTGACAAACATTAATTGACTGCTTCTATCAGGAAACCAGCAGTTGCCTGGCAACATACCTGATAGTATTGGAAAATGCGAATCATTGGAATGGTTATTCCTGGACCAGAACTCATTTGAGGGCAGTGTACCACAATCTTTGAAGAATTTAAAAGGCCTGGATATACTCAACGTGACCATGAACAAGATGTACGGGAGTATTCCTGATGTCCTTTGTAGTGTTGTTGGCCTACAAGAATTGTATCTAGCACACAACAACTTGTCAGGTTTGATCCCCACATGTCTTCAGAATTTGACATCATTGTCAATATTAGATCTGTCCTTTAATGATTTACAAGGTGAAGTGCCAAAAAAGGGTGTTTTTGAAAATGGAATGAACATGTCGGTTCAAGGGAACGATGGGCTTGTGGCGGAATACCTGAGCTTCATCTAGCTCCATGTTCCATATTTGCTTCAAAAAATAAGAAAAGGCATTTATCGAAATCCCTTATGATTACCCTAACATCAATCAGCGTGCTTGTATCTTCAGTTTTAGTAGTTATACTTATTCAGCTGATCCACAAGAAGCTCAGAAAAAGGCATGAAACTCAACTCATATCCACAACTGAGGAACAATATGAAAGAGTTTCTTATCATGCATTGTCAAATGGAACCAATGGGTTTTCCGAGGCCAATTTGGTTGGACAAGGAAGCTATGGCATGGTTTATAAATGTACTCTACATGAGGGCACTACAGTAGCTGTAAAGGTTTTTAACACAAAGCAGTCTAGGACTACTAGAAGCTTTGTGGCTGAATGTGAGGCACTGAGAAGCGTGAGTCACCGTTGTCTTATTAAGATAATCACTTGTTGCTCAAGTATCAATCACCAGGGTGAAGAGTTCAAGCCACTAGTTTTTGAGTTCATGCCAAATGGTGACCTGAAGAGTTGGCTCCACCCAGAGTCTGACACACTTGCTCTGACAAATACTCTTAGCCTTGAACAAAGGTTACACATTGCTGTCAATATCTTCGATGCTTTGGACTATCTTCACAATCACTGTCAGCCATCAATCATTCATTGCGATCTCAAGCCAAGCAACATCTTTCTTGCAGAAGACATGAGTGCCCGAGTTGGAGACTTTGGCATATCAAAAATCCTTCCAGAAAGTGCTAATAGAACCCAACAAAATTCAACTAGCACAACTGGAATAAGAGGCACCATCGGTTATGTTGCTCCAGGTAATTGATATAGTTATTTGTGATATTTGCACATTATTCCTAGTTCTTTTATAAAAAAAACTCAATCCACGGGGGAATGACGTCCCCACCAGTTTTTCATTAAGAAGAATATCTTCTCATGCAGAACGAGAAAATCCCCGAACCCCGGCCCCACCCATATACAGCGGCACCGCATCTCCATGAGACAGGACGGCCACAGACCTATACTTTGACGTGGGACAGACGAGGGGATTTTTTTACCCTGAGGCCTGAAGTTCGCCCTGAGGGGGATCGAACTCATGACCTCAGGGATGCCGCAGGAAGCTTCGACCAACCGGTCTAGCTTCCTAGTTCTTTTATGAACATAGAGTTTTTATGAACATAGCGTAGTGACTTTTGTTCTTTTGCACATTCATAGAGTATGGCAAAGGTTCTTTTGTCTCGACACAAGGTGATGTTTATAGCCTCAGCATATTACTTCTTGAGATGTTTACTAGAAGGAGCCCGCACAAGTTTTCAGAGAATGCACTTCCAAAGAGAATATGGGAGATTGTTGACCCAACAATTTGGATGCACATAGATGCTAACAACAGAGCTACAAGAAGCAGAATTCGGAATTGTTTGGTTTCTGTTGTTGCTCTTGGAATATCCTGCTCGACGAAACAACCTAGAGAATGGAATCCAATACAGGACGCAGCTATTGAGATGCATGCTATTAGAGATTTGTATCTTAAATTTGCCAGATCTCATTGGGTGGATCATGAAGAGTAGCTTCTTCAGGCTGCTCGGCTACTGGAGGAGGCCGCGTTGCGTTTTTTTTGCGTCGTTATCTACTTGTCAGATTAGTCTCCATTAGTGTTTGCTCTAGTATTTGTTTAAATTCAGCTCGTGTTACGTCGAATATGTGTACAATTTGGTTACGCTACGACTTGAGTTGTATTAGGGGCTAGGATAGAGTTGGAGTCGAACTCTGTATCCTAGCGGCCCATAAATATGAGGCAATCCATGTTGTAACCATGATACGACTCGGCGGCTGGTTTGGGTGGCTGCGCTCGAGGATTAGGCACATCACCGAACCTCGTTGTTTTATGGGATTAGGCACATCACCGAACCTCGTTGGTTTGGGTGGCTGCGCTCGGGATCGCTCGGATGCCGGTGTAGCTGTTGTTTTATGGGGAGTAGTGCCTGTAGTCATTGCCCCGAGGATTAGGCACATCACCGAACCTCGTTAAAAAACATCGTGCCTCGGTATCGTTCTCGTTTGTGTATTTTCTTCTATGGTGGTTATGCTTCTGCGTTCATCGGTTAGTAGATCCGTTTGGGTCTAGAACTAACTGTGCACTCTAACAAGTGGTATCTACAGCCAGCTTCATAGAAGAAGATCATGGGAGGTGCGATGGATATGTTCCACACCACGCAAGGCTTGCACGAGTGTCCGAGAAAGGACATGGTGCATGGTGGAGCATGGCAGCAATCGACGACATGATCAGTGGAGTTGGAAACTTCGAGCAGGTGGCTCGGACCGTCCAATGGGCTGCAATCAACATGGATTCGTCCAGACATAGAGATTGGGTTGGTGACGGTTGGTGGCGGCTGTTCGATAGGGGTCGGTCAAACGTGACGGCCAAGTTCGACGGTGCGGCTGGAAGACATCGTGAATGAAGACGGCGGCTTTGACTCGCGATCAGATTAACGGGTGGTTGATCTTGATCGGGGTGGTCGTTGCATGATTAGCAACAATGGTGGCAAAAAACGCGGTCGTGGACTGTGTTGTTCTGATGGAGCGGTGGGTGTACTTTTGGTGCTGCAGATGTCCAGGCGTTGGCAGGCGGCAGGCCTAACGTGCAGTAAGGAGTCTCTTGGATGGATCTTGTCTCGGGTGTTTGCATGGTGGATCATCCCGATGCCGGTGTAGCTGTTATATTATGGGAAAGAGCGCCCATAATTATTGTCTCGAGGATTAGGCACATCACCGAACCTCGTTGAAAAAACATCGTGCCTCGGTGTCGTTCTCGTTTGCGTATTTTCTTTTTATGGTGGTTATGCTTCCGTGTTCATCGGTTAGTAGATCCGTTTGGATCTGGAACTAACCGTGCACTCTAACAGCTCGGACGCGTTTGTGTTTGGGACTTGGGCTCAAATAGTTTGTAATAATGTGGTCTTATTCTACCCTGAGTAGATGAAGCCGGATTTTTATCCTTTATCTGAAAAAATGAAGAGTAGCAATAGTTCACAACGATTTTCCACAATAGTGAATATGTAGAACTAGAAATGGAAACGATGCCTGCAGATGATCACTTACCTAAAATAATTGAAGATGTATATGAAGCTTCAGCTCTGTAATTGTTTGCTCTCTTTTCTTACATTAAATATATGCAAGTATAAAGAAGTTTATAAATGATACATGTTGTAGAGAAATTAGTAAGATTTATGAATCAAAGTACGATCCATCATTAATGTTACGCTAAGATAAAAAAATTAACTAAGGGGCTAAGACAAATCCCGGGTATTGCATTAAGAAGAAGACCTTCTCACGCAGATTGAGAAAACCTCCGAATTCCTGCCCCATCCATAAACATCGTAGCCCATGTGAGAACAACCACGACCAGGGCCAGGTCTTAGACCTGTGCTTTGACGTGGCATAGACGAGAGGTTTTATGTATATAATTGCTATTGAATAACCGGTTGTTTTGCCGGCCCTGAGCAACCGGTTATCAGGCCATTGGATTTGGCACGTGGTGCTGTTTGGTTCGTTAGATCTTTTTGTCTCTGGCTCCAGCTGTGTCTTCGTTCCCTGCCGCTCCCAAGCCCGGTTGTGAGCGCCGCTCCTAGGCCGGCCGCTGTTGCGCCGCCAGGCCTTCTCCCTCTGTCTCCGACGCCCCCAGGCTGGCTACCGGCGCCGCCTACAGGCCTGCTCCATCCGTCGTCGACGCCCCTAGGCCACCCCCATGTTGGCTGCCGCCCCCAGGCCTACTCCCTCCGCCGCTGCCCCGAGGTCTGCTTCCTCTAGCGCTGCCGCCCCTAGGCCGCACTGCCATCGGCGTGCGGCCAGGACAGAGACACTGTTTCCTTCAAAGATACGATTTCTTCTTCTTTTTTTCTCCTCTCTCTTCAATAAGTAGTGTGCCACCTCAGTAAATTACTTATGTAGCAATGCATTTAATATCCATAGAAACTACTATGCTGCATTGTTTTTCTCGATCATGCAAAAGATTTGCACGTCTTTGTATTAAAGTAGAGAAAATATTTGTTACAACACACCTTAATGGCGTCCTAGGGGATCAACAAAGTTTTATATGGACACCTAGACCCTCTCTAGTGTACTGAAAGCCAGGCTATTATGTTGGACATTGAAGAACCCAAATTTGCGGCACTGGCAAGGAGGCCTATGCCCGGGCTACCGAGCGGCAGCATTGCTTGCGCATGCCTATCTTGTCATGCGCTAGGAACAACTCACGTAGCACTTGTATATGAGCGGGGTACTATGCTACGTTGTGAGTGCCCTAAGGGCATCTCATCATGATGGGGGTCGGAAATTGACCTTGTCGGTTCCTCCGTTTCGCTATGTGACGCCTCTTGGAGGCTTGTGTGATGGTAGAGGACAGAAGTTGCTAGTTGAGCAAGGAATTCACAGAAGGTCTGAGCTACTGTTTATCTTATTCCTAGTGATACTAAAGTTCTAGAGATTTAACTTTGAAAAACATAAAAATGCTATATGATGAGTTCATGTATGACAAAGCTTGAATTTTCATCAGAGCCATACATGTTATCTAGGCTAGGAAAACTTCTACATATATGTTGCTTGCTTTTGCATTGAGTTTTGTCAAGCTTTGTTGACCTTTATGAGAGGTTTGTCATACTCTTAAAATCAAGATCGCGTACACACCACACAAATATGCACTACTCCTACACTAAGGGTAGGCGTAGATACATGCCTTCCATCTAGATCCACCCAAAAATGTTTTACTCCTACACTGGGAGTGAACAACAAAAACATGCTTGATAGGTTTTCCATTCACCAAATAAATGCTCCAAGTTCTTGTTGCTATCTCTCAAAGTTTTGTTGTAGAAAAGAGACATGGGGCTATGCAAAAGTTATCCATAAAAAAAGAGAGAAGAAAAATGATGATGAGAAAAAATAGATACAAAAGTGTCCGAGATATTTAAAACAATGGGTACTAGATGCCCGCTGAAAAAAAAAGAGAAGAGATGAATAAGATAGCCCCTGTTCTCTAGCAAATGTTTCTAAGTTTCAAAAGAGAGATAAGTTTTCAAGGAGCATAGTAGAATTAGGTTAGCCACTATATATCCACCATACATCCACACACATGCACATCTTGATTTGATTGTATGACTCAACTCTCTTTGGATCCATTGTTTGACATTATAATATTTGCATTTGCAAGTATGCTCTAGCTTTCTCCCTACCTATGAACTCCACATAAGCCTTAGTGGTAGGAAGAAAAAGGCATAACACCTTTATTTCCTTGGTGAGGATCCACAAATACCACATATATTGAGAGACTTGAGAGTGTCATACAATGGAATCTCTGAGTTTTATTTTGAAAACCTATAAAAACTCCGGAACAATAGTGGAACAAAGAAATTTGAGACGTAGTGCTTGACTTGATCGTTCTGTCCTTCAATTGCTCAAGACCCAAGTGAAGGCTGAGAAGCCCCATGGTTGAAGATAATATGGGTAAGTTTGAAAGTCAGATCAGTTTATTCTAATCCGGAGAAGAATTCTTGTTTGAATGCATGTGTACTTTTGAGGTGTGAAAACATTGTAGCAACTCCTGATCCATTGTTGAGTTTAGCTTTGCTAAGGGACTAGCAAAGGTTAACCTTAGAGGAGTTGTTGATGGTAGTTAACAACCATTATAAACCATCAATTAAACATGTATAAGGGCATAAATGTAATCACCAATGAAGGTTTAGAGGTTTAAACTAATGAATTCCATGAGCTTTGGTGAATTCATGATTGCAGGAGGATTTATCCAGAAAACAGCTCTTGAAACCACTATCATACACTCCAAATAAGCAAACCGATGACAACAAGTGATTCTACCCACGACACCTATGAAAGTCGACCCAAGACGGAGCCCAAGCCTCGCCACCAAAAGGAGGAGCCCACCTGGCACCATGGTGGGCTGGCCAGCCCACTAGGGAGGCCGCCCGGCCCATGAGGGTGGCCATCACCCTCCACCACCGCGTACTCCTTCCTACGATCTACACCGTTGATTCTCAGGTGGTTTTAGGTTGGTTCATCCAACAGTGGTCGGGAGAGTTGATGCAGATCGATGACGTGGCAATTCCTTGCCCCCTACTCCTCCTAGAGTCCTTGCCCCTTACTCCACCTTGATTCCTTGGCCGTCACTCTACCTCTGGCCTATATATAGCAGCCCCTACCCCCTCCCTCATTAGATCCTGAAACCCTAATTCATATTCTCCTCATGAGGATCAGAGCTAGCTATCAAGAGAATATTAGTCATCCATAGGATCTAGTCTTCAGAAATAGAGAGATGGAGAGTGAAGGAAGAGTTTGGAGGAGGTGCTGGCCTATCGGTGCTCTCTCTATGGATTGTACCTTGGCGGAAGTCAACCTTGCGTCTGAGATTTCTCTGGTAATCAACTTCTAATTCAAGTAAGCATCTTGTTTATATAGTTCTTCAGGTTCATGACTCTTTTGAGTGCTTTATTCCTGTACTAGAGGGAGTAAAGTATTAATTGTAAGTGTAAGCATGGTGCTTAGACTTAGGTTAATCATAGAT